GTGATCAAATGGTGTTTAATTTAGTATACTATGATATATTTCTATTCTTTTTTTGCTTTATCCCATAATTCTACGTTATCCTTGGTACATGCATGTTGCTAATACAGAAGGTCTAACTGCAGCTCAGACTGCTCTACTTACTGTACATGTTTATTAATGATTCCTACTAAATGAGCAACTTTGACAGCCACTTTGACAGCCATGTGGATGCTGGTTCAGCTTCCAGAATGCACACTGTCTGTGTTTGGGCACCTTCACACACCCATACCCACATGGCTACTAAATTGGGAGCAGCAGATGTTCTGCGTTATCCTTGGTACATGCATGTTGCTAATACAGAAGGTCTAACTGCAGCTCAGACTGCTCTACTTACTGTACATGTTTATTAATGATTCCTACTAAATGAGCAACATGAGTCTTATAATTTCCTTTAAACGCCATGCTTTCAATGAGCCTGTTTGGATGAGTCAGACTTTCGCTGAGTTGTTTGACTAAACTATCACAGTGGTGGCAGGATTTATATAGTGAGAAAGACAAAGCTGGGCTATGCAGCAAGGATTGTAAATAATTGTTAAAAATACAGAAGTCTAATATGTTAACAGTTATATATGAAATACAGCCTTGACACTGTGATAACTGTATAATAAGAGTGAACAACAAAATGTATACAAAAGAAGAAGGTTCATTGAAAATATAAGTTTTTTAGTTTTTGATACCTTTGGCTATTTTGCTTTTTTCTTTTTTCTGTTTGTCTTATTCTTGCAGTAAATTCAAGGAAACCGACCCAGTAGAATTTTAATGGCATTTTACTAAACAAGAATGATGTGTCTACAAACTACTTACCATTACAAAATGCTACAAATATGCATACTTACACATATGCACAGCTCTCTATATGTTCTTAGCAAAAAAAACATTGGAAATAATCTGTATGTAATAAGAACACATTAAAAGTCGCTTAGCTTCCATTATTGCTGGTCCACAATTTCCTTAGCAAACTGGATTCCCAGCATTAGGTGATTGCAGTAAATCAGGTTCATGATATTGGCAATCTCTTCCTCTCTTGTATTGGAGTTTCAATATTTTCCAATGGTAGAGTCTTCCTTTCAGCTTTGCTGCAAACATTTTTATACTCCTTTGCTGTCAGAGTTTAAACCTCCTAACATTACATATATTTCTGAAAGCAGGATCCCTGGAAAAGAAAATGGTAATGGTAGCATTTTTTATGCCCCCAGCAGTGCAAGGGTTGATCGTTCATTTGGTATAGGGGCAGAAGATTAAGGAGAAAACACTCCTTGCTCCAGCAGGTTTCCTCTAGTTCTATGACCTGGGAATCCAGCTGCTTTGTACTCTGCAATCATCTGTGTTCACACTCCAGACTCCTATACTTACAGTAGCCTAGTAGTAATATGTAACCCCTCGCCTTCAATCAATCTTTTCATTTTAAAATAGAAATGAAAGGGAAGACATTTATGTATACATATAAAAACATTATAAATACCCCTTTTCCCACTTTTTATAAGTGATCATATACCTTCTGTTCTCAGCTACATAAGGAGCTACAGGAGGAGAAACAGCAGTCCACTGGTCTTCCCAGTGAGAGGCTGTGCAGAGGGGACATTCCAGCACAAGTCTGATCAATGGAGAGCAGGCTGAGTTCCAGTACAGCCAGAACACTGTCCCTACTGTGCTCTCCTGCCTAGTGTGGTCAGTTTTTAATAGGAAAGCAGAGGGACTGGCAGGAGCACCAAGGATTTCACACAAAGGAAGCAATACAAAGAGAACAGGAATTTTTAATACACGTACATGGTATAGCAGTCACATATCAGGAATGTGAAATTTTGGGTTTGTGTATTCTTTAATGATGATGTGATGATGCTGATAGACCAGATACTGCGGCGGAGGAGGAGAGTTCTAGTGCTGGCTGGAGCTGACATTCCATTCATTAACCCTTTCAGTGCGGGGGGGGGGAGTTGCCACCTCATCCCTTTAAAATCAAACACACGTTAATTACACAGGTTCTGTGGCTGTTTAAGGTGGTGATTAAATTATTATGTGTTTGGGTTCAAAGGGATGAGGTGGCAACCCTGGGGGGGGGGGGGCATCACTGCAGGGGTGGATTTTTTTCCATAGAGTTGGGTTTTCAGTTTCCTAATTCCTATATGGGCCCTTTTTCAGAAGTAAATACTGTAAGTTACAGTTATTACTCTAATGGTAATTGCCAAAGTGCCATTTTTTTCTGGAATTAAAACAGGCGTGACTCTCAGTAGACATCATGTGGCCCCCTGCAAATTTTTTCCACTGAGTTTGGCCAACCATTTCCTTTGAGTTTGACACACTTGCTTTAAAGGGAACAGATGTCTATAATTTTCTATTTATTTTAGTCTATTTATTATAGTCAGTATTTTAGTCAGTTTATTTACAGTACCTGTAAAACAGCATTCTTCATCTCTATATAATTATTAAAGTAACCCCTTGAGGGAGAAAAACAATGGGAACAGCTATTATTTGCTGGGTTTTGAAAGGTTCATTAGGGTAGCACAATTAGCTTAGTAGTTAGCATTTATGCCATGCAGCAGTGGGGTCCTTGGTTTGGCTTTCAGCCAGGACACTATCTCTATGGAGTTTGCATGTTCCCTCTGTGTTTGCATAAGTTTCTTCTCATAATTGTATCAGATATGGTGCCCAGAGAGCTGGCCAAAAGCATCTTCGAGAGATGAATACAACTGAATAGATATATAGTATATGTGCATAGGTGAAGTGCTGAACTCATCCTGATTGTGGGTTAAAGTGTATCTAGACCCAGAAATAAAAATGGAGCTGGTGATCCTGCCAGGAACACGCTTTCTGTTCTTGAGTGACAACGTACTATGTCTAGTAGGAGCAGCATCGTCAATCTAATAAGAACGTTCGTTAGATGGAGCATTACACAGAGGGAGGTGTTTTGTAATCAGTGGAAATAGCTGGGGACAATGCTTAGTGATAACTGTCTGCAGAGGCAAAGAGCACAGGAAGTTATCAGTTCACAAGATTTCTAGCTGGATGAATAGCAATTTTATTTTGGACTTGTCAAACAGTTATAACAACATTTTTTCAATGGTATATTTAACAACGTACTGGAAAAAATAAAAGAAAGTCATTATTAGGTTTACATATGGTTTACCTACTGAGTCCCTGACCAGGAAAAAACACACTTCAATAGAGTCTGAACAGTCTTAGTTCCTTGCATTCTTGTTTGAGATCAGTGACTCAAAAGTATAAGACATGAAAAGTGTAAAAACACTTTGGAGTCAGCATTTAATTTAACTTCTCTGACAAAAGAGGTAGCAATAGATGGTTATTTGTGGGCTAAGTGTGGTATAAAAACAAAACCTTTGTTGAAAATATAGAACAATTTGCGGTAAATGTCACCTAAAAGTATCCATGAACTCTCCACCAATAAAAATGTCAACTTGCTAAACAATACTACCTCTTGACAACTAACTTGTCCCCTCTGACCTTTTTCCTATTTACTCTTTCAATTCTGAACAGCCTCACCAATGTCTCAGGCATGGATGACTAAGTGCTTGTTCCATTTCTGAATGGGTGCAGAGGTGCGATCGGTATAAACGTTCATCACATTTGAAGGAAGTTTATTGAAGTTGTCAGTTCACAGGTAACAGGTAAATTGTTTGTATATTAATATGGAGAACTCACTGGGGATGATTAGTTCATGTAAAAAATAGATAATGTATAGAAGGACACAAACATAAAAACTCTTAAACACATAAAATTTTAAAAATTTAAAATCTAGCCTGTACTGTGTTTAGGCAGTAGATGCATCACTGGAATGCTCAGACAGTACTACCACTGGTCTTACAAGACATCTTATGGAAGGCTATTGCATGTTTTATATATATATATATATATATATATATATATATATATATATATATATATATATATATATATATATATATATATATACACATATATCTATATATATATATCTATATCTATATATATATATATATATATATATATATATATATATATATATAGATATAGATATACCTGGAAATGGTGAATATGGTGGGAACAGACCTGGAACAGAGATGTAGAAAAAAATTCCACTGTGGATGTCAAGAACAGAAAACTGCAATGCTTTACAGATCTACAAGAGAAATTTTCCAAAACAAGCATTTAATGAATATCTACAAATAAGTCACTGCGTCCAAACTATCTCTATTATATTGCAGTTCTCTTAATTAACCCAGTTTGAAACCATTTGCCTAGTGGGCTCTTGGCTTATTGCTATAAGGTATTGACCACATGTCCTTTCCAACCTTTATATAAACATTCTCACATGAAAAAATGGGAAAGGATTCTGGGTGAAGGGATAACTCTAGAACAGTGAAAAATAATATGGCCTCAGGCCTCTGAATGTTTAACTAGCTGCCGACCGCAGATAGCCGAATGACGGCTGCACTGCGGCCAGCCAGTTCTGGGTGGACGTCATATGACGTCCTCCCAGAACACGCTCTCCTGCGCGCCCCAGGGGGCGCGCACCCGGCGATTTCCGCGATCGCTGTGTCCTACGGACACAGCTGATCACGTGATGTGGTATAAGGCCAATCACAGCAGCCTTTTACCACGTGATCAGCGGTGTCCAATGACACGCTGATCAGAGGGAAATGCAATATATAAAACATTCTCACATGAAAAAATGGGAAAGGATTCTGGGTGAAGGGATAACTCATGAAAAATAATATGGCCTCAGGCCTCTGAATGTTTAACTAGCTGCCGACCGCAGATAGCCGCGACGGCTGCCCAGGGGGCCAGTTCTGGGTGGACGTCATATGACGTCCTCCCAGAACGTGCTCTCCTGGCGCGCACCCGGCGATTTCCGTGATTGCTGTGTCCTACGGACACAGCTGATCACGTGATGTGGTGTAAGGCCAATCACAGCAGCCTTTTACCACGTGATCAGCGGTGTCCAATGACACGCTGATCAGAGGGAAATGCAAGTGCCTGTTCTCGGCTGCACTTTCCTCACGCTGTCAGATCGTGAGGAAAGTACTGCCGAGAACCGGCAGTTGTCAGAGCGGGGATCGGCACCGATCATCAGGGCACTGATGATCAGTGCCCTGATGATCGGTGCCCAGCAGTGCCACCCGCAAGTTCCGCCCACCTGTGCCCAGCAGTGCGCCCACTAGCTCCGCCCACCCGTGCCCAGCAGTGCACCCACCTGTGCCCATCAGTGCACCCACCTGTGCCACTCTGCAGTGCCACCTACCTGTGCCCAGAAGTGCCACCTACCTGTGCCCAGCAGTGCCAGCCACATGTGCCCACCCACCTGTGCCCACCAGTGCCACCCACCTGTGCCCACCCAGCAGTGCTGCCCACCAGTGCCACCCACCAGTGCTGCCAGTCAGTGCCACCAGTCAGTGCCCAGGGGTTGTGCCAGTCAGTGCCGCCAGTCAGTGCCCATCAGTGATGCCAGTCAGTGCCGTCTATCAGTACCCATAATCAGTGTCACCTATCAGTGCCGCCTATCAGTGCTGCATATTAGTGCCGCTATCCGTGACACCTCATTAGTGCTGTCTATCAGTGCCGCCTATTCGTGACACCTCATTAGTACTGCCTATCAGTGCCCTTTAGTGCTGCCTATCAGTGCCTATCATGCAGTGCTGCCTCATCAACGCACATCAGTGAAGGAGAAAAAATACCTGTTTGAAAAATTTTATAAAAGAAACAAAGAAACTTTTTTTTTTTCTAATTCTTTGCACTTTTTTTAATTATAGCGCAATAAGTAAAGCGCCCAGTGGTGATAAAATACCACCAAAAGAAAGCTCTATTTGTGAGAAACAAATGATCAAAATTTCATATGGGTACAATGTTGCATGACCGCGCAATTGTCAATCAAAGTGCGGCAGCGCTGAAAGCTGAAAATTGGCCTGGTAAATAAGGGGGTATAAGTGCCTGGTAGGCAAGTGGTTAATCTATACATTGTACTAAGATATTCCATACAAGCTACTTTTTGTTGGTGCCAGACCCCAGAAATTCTACACAAAATGTACTGACAGATGCTGGGTCTGTTCAGTACATATACTGGTACTGTTTGCTTATCAAGCCCTGTTGGAAAAATGTCCTTACCCTGCTCCACAGACTTTTCAAAACCTGGATTCCATTTTCAACCAAAACTTACTCCCATACAATTTTTCAAAATCAGTTAAAAAAAGTCTAAAAATTTAAATACAGCGGTGAGAGGTATAGGAGCTCAAAAATGGAAACACACTGATCCCTCTTTCCTACTGAATCTACATACAAAGATTTGAGAAGGTAAAGTGATGGAATACCTTACAGGTCACCTCTGTAACTCGCTTCAGAAATGCAACAAAGTCAGTCATTTTTTGTATGGCAATATAAGACCAATTCCCTAGACTGGGTATACCCCCCCCCCCCCTCGCTTATCTCTACATGTTAGAAATTAAACCTAATATTGTAGGACATGGGTCTGACTATGAGGCCACATTTACAGACTTGCCAGACTCACATATTTTGCTGCAGAGAATACATTTTATTAAGTCAATGGTTCAATCATGAAATGCCTCCATGAATGTAACTGTGCTGTTAAATGAGAATTATCCATTCTGTTGACAACTTTATTAAGCTGACCCACCTTCATGTGGTGATTTTGGGTTTATTTTTTTTCATGTTGTTCCTTACAGTCTTGTACTTCTTTTGTGAGCAATCAACCTTGTATATGCTGAATCTTGGGGGAATTTCTTTACCTTGAGATATATCACTTGTAAACTTTTATCTTTTGTTACTGAACTTCCGTATAAAAAAAAATAAACGTTAGTGGTACAAAATAAAAGGTAACATGGTCATCAAGAACCCCCTGGCCAGATCACATTTATCCATTCAGTACTAGCTATATTATATCTGCACCAGATTCGGACCCTAAACCCCTATACTTTCTATCACTTTGAAGTGACAGCATGCATGCAAGTAAATGTGTAACTTTGGCAAAAGTGTTTCTTTTTTTGATGGGGGAGGAAAGGAAAAAATATTGGGGATGGGATGAATGGGACAGGGAGTCTATGGGGTAATGATGTGCAGGCTACAAAGCCAAGCACAGAGAATGGTCATATGTGAAAGGATCGATTTTCTTTATCCCCTTAGAGACCCCCCGATCTGTGGAGAGATTCCTGGTTTATCAGCAGAATTCTGGGAACACCCTATGAACATGGAATAATGGCAGCTTATGTTCAAAGATGTTCAAAGTTTATTAGACATAACTAAGGTTATTTAGAGTACAGAACAGAATTAAAAAGGGAGGGGGGGGCAAGTTTGAAAACTGCAATTTGTAACTTTCCATCATGAGCTGACTATATGAAACATGACATATACATTTCTTGGTATAAACTGTTTCTGCTAGCTTTCTGAGAATCGGCTGGACACAGAAAGCTCAGGGACATTTTATCGTTGTTTATACATCCTTGAGCAAGCTGCAGCAGTTTCATTAAACTTCCAATATATCTGCAAAAACCTAACTTAATACTTAAAATGGTGCACATCAACAAAATGGAGGTTATCTAGATCCTTTCAATATGTACTTAGATATAATGGTGGTAGAGAACATGTTTTGCAGAAATGTTTGTCTTTACGCTGCAACTCTGCAGTCAGTTGTCATTTAGCTAAGTTTTTACTGATATCCATTTCCCACCTTTCGGGGGGTCAGTACTTCTCCAAATATGAAGAATACATACTCTGGCGGAATTAAAGGATAAGTTCACCTTTCATAACATGTTACAAGTTCCATCTATATTCAGTGTGTAACATGCAACATGTTTTTGAATAGACCGGCCACTGCCGATCCCCCATTTTGATGGTTAGTGGGGATCTTCTCCCCCCTTCCGTTAGCTATCAAATTTAAAAAAAAAACGTTGGCCGCAAGGGGCTCCTCTGTGAATGAGAAACTACACGTCCCGACAGCCTTTGTGGCTGTCGGCTTGTAGTTCTCTATGAACTACCACGGCGAAGCGGAGTGCTGTGGTGGTTGATTGAATCTTCCTGTCAGTATATTTGCTTGCTCGTGCATCCTGTACAAGCAAGCAGATATACAGACAGATCTGCAGGAGACCTGCACGGCACCAGAGATCTGCTGATCCACTGGTGCAAATGTTTTACAGTCTGCAGCAAAAAAAAAATAAATGCACATTTTTTTTACCTGCAAAAAATGTGCATTAATAATTTTTGTATTAAATGGTGAACTTATCTTTTAAGCAGGTGGATCAGGAGATTTCTTATAGCTACAATTCGAAAGTGGGGTAAGAAGTAATAGAAATGCCTCTGGACAGTCATCCAATTAAATACCTGTAAGTTTAAATACCAAATGCTGAATTTCATCGCAGCGTGGTTTTACTGAAGGGCATGACCAGAAAGTATGTAACAGGGTACCACTATACCACTGATATCTCCAACATAAAGATGATACTGGGGAAAGATCTTGTACAGGAGAGTGGGTACCCTGTATCATCATTTCTTGATATCTACTTGAAATAGTAGATTTATGAGCAAAAAAGAGAGCCTACTTACTAAAGAGTGTTACTCAAGAGTGTCTCAATGGCTAGATATCGAAACAATATAGTTCTAAAATAGCATGCTAGGCATACGTAACACTTGGTGTAATTTAATAGTAGATAAAAAGTGTCTTACTTGCATAGCCCACCAACAGTCCAGTGGAGGAGAGCATATTCTGAATTCCTGCGATGGACCATGAATGACCATCCCACAAGAAGTTCCTGATCCTAAACTGATTAGTAGAGAACAACACTTAAAGCACCACAAAATGGTCATCTACAACCATTAGGGTTAACCCTAACCCTTCAATCATGGGGGATATAGGAGAGAGGGAGGAGGTCAAAAGAGAATCTGCTTTGGCCAGAACTGATAGAGTAGTACCTATCAAAGGGTGGGATTTTATATCTGGAGGGGGTGTAAAAGTGTTTTTACCAGCAGACTCTTAACATTGTCCCACTGTCTAGAGGTTAGGCAGGGCACCTTTGCAATAGGTAGGCTGTATTGTTATTGCAGACGCTATTTATGTTGCTATACTGCACTATACAGACTGTTGCTTTTCTCACCAGTATTGTTCATTTACACCAGCCTAGCACATATTTTTGCCCTGGTCACCACACCGGCGGTTGTGAGGAACAATCAGCCTCACCTTGTAATTTGTGTTGTGTAACAAGGTACTTACATTGTAGTAATATTGTAAACTGTTGTTTAATTAACCCATATCTTTCTAGGGCTTTACATAAAGCCCATTTAAACTATGTAATGTGTGTTGGTGCTCTTGGGTCTAGGTAAGGACAGGTTATTGCTGGAGAAAAGGCAGGGAGATCCAATACAATTCAGTGGCTCCTTTGGGGGTTAGCAATGTATTTGCAACATGAGGAAGGTGTTTATTATGGTCAGTGTTTTGAGGGCCAAAATCAGACACCTTATTGAACCTTTCTCCTGTTGCAAATCCCATGGAGTGAACCTGCTTTCTTCTTGGAATTCTATTGGATTGCACCCATGCCCACTTGTATACTCTAAATATATTTCTCCCCCAAAAACTCAATAAATTTCAAACCTTTATGGTTGTCCACAATTTGTTAGAAAATTCCTTCAATATCTCCAACCATTGGTCATCAAGATGCCATTGTATTTATGGGATACTAAGCAGACCATCAGTATATTGAGACATATTTAACACAGGTAGGGTCTTCTGCTGGTAACGGAAGATGTCTCTTCCCTGTATACCAATATTCCCCATTCTTTAGATTTGGAAGCTGTGGAATATTTTCTTAGGATGCTACCGTTCCAGGGATACAGAAGGCATATATTATGGATTTGTTGACATTTTCTACCACACAGAATTATTTTTGGTTTGCTGGGAGATACTACTTACAAAACAAAGACGTGGCAATGGGGGTGAAGTTTGCCCCCAGCCTAGCCAATTTGTTTATGGCTAGGTGGGAGGAGGATGTTGTTTATGCCACTTCCAGACCATGGTTGGTGTTGTGGAGAAGGTATATCAACGATGTCATCCTCCTATGGGATGGGGATATCTCCTCATTGCATGCTTTTATGGATGAGTTAAATAAAAATGATAGGGGCATCTGTCTGAATTTTGAAGCTAGTGAGAGTCGGTTTAATTTCCTGGACCTCATTATTATGGTACAAAATGGAAATTTGATTGTTAGTACTTATTTTAAAAATCAACCGATAGGAACTAATATATCCCTCTCAGCAGTTGCTATCATGGACGGCTGGGGTCAGTCCTACGGAGTAAGTTTCTCAGCTGAGATGGAATTGTACAACTGTTGATGACTACAAAGATCAGGCTGACATGCTCAGGACACATTTCTTAGAGAAAAGGTATAATGAGGTTGAGTTTAATGAGGTCATACTGCAAGTTAAGTCAACTGAGAGAGATTTCTTGTTGATTGATAAAAGCAGGAATCCTAATAGTCAAGATACATTTGTTTTATCCATGATTAATTACGTCTCCATTCCGCATTATGCTGTTAAGAATATTTTTAAAAGGCATTGGCCTATTTTGAAAAATAAGTCCTGGGCCCCTTGCTACCAGATAATCACTATGTGTTATTCAAAGGGGTCCCTTTTTTAAGATCCAAAAATATCTCAGAATACCATTGATCC